AGGGCCCTTGGCGGGGGACCAGCTGACCGTCTGCAGTTGTCCTTGGGTGGGGCCTCTGCCTGAGGCAACCAGTCCCCATGGGAACTCTGCTCTGCACCTGGCCCCGGCGTGACCTGAACCGTGGGCCTGACTTGCACTCCAGCCTCTCTCTCCATTCTGTGGGCGCCTCCTGCCAGAGGCCAACCCCCGGACAATCTGCACTTGTCTCCGTGGTCTTTAAGTGCCTCTGACCCAAGCAGGTCGCCTTGGACTGCCAGCTTGGCTCCTGCCCTGCCAGGGCCAGACAGACATCAACAACCTGGCTATGGCAGGAAGAGAAATCCTGATCTTTCCAGATACGGTCACTGCGCAAATCCTGATCGTGACCATGACCCTACCTGTGAGGACTGTAACAGAGAGGTTAAGAGCAAGGGCTTTGCAGACCATCACACCCAAGTTCGGGTTCCGTTGTCAGTGGTGACCACGGGGAGGTCACGACTTCTGTGCACTTGAGAGTACTTAACTGTAAAATGGGGTAAATCGTCAGACTTATCTCATAGGGCTATTATGAGGATTTAAAGAGATGCTATATGTGAGATCATCATCATGTCAGACCACACTCTGTGGTCTCATGGTTGTCCTCGGCCACTCTTATCACCACCATCCACATGTGCCATGGTATGCCGATTAAGGACCCAGGTCTGCAGCTACAATGCCCAAGTTTGAATCGTGCTCCTTCGCTTCCCAGCTCTGTGGTCCTGAGCTATACATAGGCTCTCCGTGTCTCACTTATGTCATCTATGAAATGGGCATATCAACAGTGGGATACTAGAAGTTCACACAAGTCCTTAGAACTGTACCTAGTACAGGACCAACACCCAATAATGGCAGTTGCCGGTGACGCTGTTACGGCTATCTGCGAAACTGTGATCACCCAAGGCTGTAAGCTGCTTGGGAGGGACGTGTAGGCAACGGCAGAGTTCGAGAGCTTCTGCAACCTACAACCTACTTCCAGTTCCACACAACGCCATTTTAAATGGCGACTGTGCTCGCCTGACTCACTCTGTGTGAGAGTAAGGGATGGACTGCGTTTTCCAAGGAGAAGGGACAGTATGCTCCTGGTTGTAAACAAATCAGTAGGTGTCAAAGCCAGATTTAAGGCTGGCAAGCCACTGCGGCTGTTTTTCCAGATCGGTTCAAAGGAAAAATGCTGTCTATGAAAAGATCATGCTTCGTGCCAGATTAAACACTACAGACTTTTTCAATAACATGATTTATTGACCATGGAGGAAAAAAAAAAAAAATCCGTCATCCTGAAACCTAGCTTTCACCTAAGGATCAAGGCTTTTTGACAAAGCCTTCTATGACACATACCTGTTACTCACAGACTGGGGTTCCAGGATTTAAAGACACACGGTTCTGAGCACTGCCTTCTTTTGAGAATCTTCTAGCAAAATTTAAACGCAACAGTGGGTGTGGGCAACAAAATGACCGACTTTTCCAAGTCTAGTAAATATCATGGCTTTGGGGTGTGTGTGTGTGAATGTGTGTGTACGTGTGTGCAACACTGGATCTGGAAGGCTATTTAAGCTTTGCCCCAGTGACCAAGGAGGAAGCAGTGTTTCGAATATTAGCTGCAATCTTTCTTCCACACTGCTGTGTCTGACAGATCTATGGAAACACTGGGCACAAAATGCATTTCTTCAGTTCCCTACTTCTCAGGCTCTCCACATGCTGGTTTAAAAAAAGAGGATCCCACAGGAACATTCTCAAACCTGAAAATGCAAACCCGCACAGCTGGTGGGAGCTGGGAGATGTCAGTAACCAAAACACTCTTAGAGACCAAAACTGTGCACCAGTATGTTTGAGAGAAGAATGAAATAGTAACAAAAAGTATCAGGTAGCCATTACAGAAGGTCTTACGTGTCACAGACTACATTAACAAGTTTAAACACGTAATTCACCCAAAAACACAATGAAGGAAGTACTGTTATTTACCAAATTCCCTGGATGAGGTAAGGAGCCTTAGACAATGTAAGCAATTTGTTCACACAGCTCCCACGAGAGGAACGCTGGATGTGAACTTGTAACCCCAAAACGTCAGCTGTCAGTCTGAACACGGGGGCTCATGTGAGAATTTCCAAAGAGACAAACGATGGGCTTAAAAGTGTGCCCATCCTACAAGCTCACGTCTGCCATCTGTGCTGTCCAACAGAGTGGCTGTGAGCTCCGTGTGGCTACCGAAATCAAATGCAATTTCAAATTCTGCTGCTTAAACTGTTGTTGAACACTTAACATGTGGCTAGTGCAGCCGATGGCCTGAAATTTCAATTTCATTTAATTTTCATTACTTGAAGTTTCAACAGTCTCATGTGGCTATGGCCTCCATTGGACAGTGCTGATCGGTGGAACTGTTTTTGCTGTATCAGACATGGTTCAGGGATGCTTCACCAAAATCTCACAAACAGTGGGGCATGAGGGGCTCTGCCCAAGGGCCCAGAGAAAATCATGGGGATAAATTCCGTGTCTCTTCTCTAGGATCAGACACAGTATGTTCTTCAAACACAATCAGCCTTTCCAATATCCCCAACACCCAGATCTCCTGACTTTCTCCTAAGTCACAGCATGAGGACAATAAAGTCACAAGAGACAAACCCAAGAACAACTGTTCTCAGACACTGGTTGCATCAGCTTCAGCTTCAGCGGGGGCGGGGTGGGGGGAGGGGCGGCTGGTTGAAAAGCAGGTTCCTGGGTCCCGCCTCCAGTGGGCCTGGGGGGAGGCCTTGGGTTCCGTGACTGAAACAAGCAGCCAATGTAGATTTCAATGCAAGTGGTCTAGCTTCAGAGGCTGAATTGCATATTTATCTCCTGGCCTCTTAAATAATTATAGCATATGAAGTTTTCGAGAATAGCACAAACTGGGCTGGAAGCCAGACAGTCATCACTCTGCACTAACTGCTCACTTCTATGACATCGGGCAAGGTGATTAGTCACTAAGGCCTCATTTTTGTTTCATCTGAAACAAAATACCTGCTATTTGTCCTCTAGGACAAATGAGAGCACAAATGTGAGAGCATTTGAGAGGGATAAGGGCTTAAAAACACACTGCATAGACATCCTATGAGTTAGAGAGATGTTTTGCTTGTCTCGCAGAGTTTAAATAGGTTCCACATTTAAAAAATCCACATTTTTAACTTGTCTGGAGAAAGTGGGATGGTTGGCACTTTGGTACGATTAGGAACATTGCTCTGGGGTCCTAGGCACAGGTTCAAGCCCCCACTTGACTTTTTAAAAGCTGGGTGACTTTGGGCAAATGGTTCAACTTCTCTGTGCTTCAGTTTCAACTCTGAAATGATAATCTTTTTGTTTAAAAAAATTTTTTTTAAACATTTATTTATCATTGAGAGACAGAGAGACACAGAGCGTGAGCAGGGGAGGGGTAGAGGGAGGGGGAGACACAGAATCCGAAGCAGGCTCCAGGCTCTGAGCTGTCAGCACAGAGCCCGACACGGGGCTCGAACTCACAAACGGTGAGATCATGACCTGAGCTGAAGTCGGTGGCCCAACCGACTGAGCCACCCAGGCACCCCTGAAATGATAACCTTAATAGTATATCCACCTCAGAAGGCTGTGAGGGTTGAATTAAGTAAGCTAATATAAAGTGCTCAGAACAAAGCGTGGCACATGGTAAGAGCTATAGAACCGCTAGTTGAAGAAATAAATATCTTTGCACATGGCCACCACCAGCTGGAGCTGAGCGCTGGCTGTCATCGCCAGATAGGGTTGACGTGCACATGTTTATCACAAGCTCCACCAAGAACCATTTGACGATGGGGTCCCTGATGGAAGGGGTAGACATGTGTCTCCCTCCTTGGGTGCTCTGCCCATGAGGGGCAGACACACTTAGTGCGTCTCAGAAAAGGACTTCTCAGTTATCCATGGTGAAGGACCCATTTTTTATTTTCAGTCCATTTCAGACAGACATGTGGTCCTTCTGAGCAAGACTAACACACAGCACATGCGACATACAACTCACTCATGGCTTCCACAACACCGACTGGTCTGTACCTGCACCGATAAGACAAGCCCACTGAGCATGCATGTGGATGTTGTGGCAATGTCCAATTGTTCTAAGAGTTTCTAAACGTTGTCATTTTCAGTACGTATCTCACGCGGACTGTGGCTAGCTTCCTTCCTCAGACTACGCTTTGAGTAGTGCCATCTTAGAGAACATCTCCATCAGTCTTCACATGCACGCAAACTAGCTGGACAATTTGGCTGGAGAAAGCAGGCCTCGAATTTAATCTCTCTCACGCTCTCCCCCTCTTCTGTCCTTTTCAGCCTGCCTGCCCTCTGCTGTCTATCCATATTTCTTTTGCCTTTATCCACACATCAAAATGAGCTCCCTAATGAGATACTGGGGTTCAGAAAAGCCTTGGAAGCTGTTGTGGATGCTCCGGTGTCTCAAGCATTACCCAGCTTTGTGAGTACCACCCCCAGCTCACAGCTGCCTCTGCTTCCGAATGTTGTCTTCGGCCAATAGCACCTGCCGTGTCCCATGCCCACATCCTCCACAACCTCATCCCCAGGCTGTCCTCCAGCAGCCCAAAGCCAGTGACCGAAGGACATGGTGGCGTGGGATGACAGCCACTTTGTCACAAGAGGGAAGCAAACGTATGATGCAACTCAGCCTCCAGAGCCCCCGTGGGATCAGGCTGAAGTCAGATTCCAGCCCAGAGCTGGAGTCTTCGCCTGGCCCCTCCTCCCGCCCTGGGCCCTCACTGTGCCTCCCCTTCCCTGGGAGCACGCCCTGAACATGCCACAGGCATCTGCACCCCTGTCTCAGGCTCTGCTTATAGGGAATGCGTTCAAAGACAGAAGCCATCTGAACCTGGGATCCCCCTTCCTCGACAACCTGTTGGAGGAGGGCACGTGGCAGGCACAACATGAAAGTCCTGAAGACCAGCATCAGGTCACCCAGAGACTACCTCTGCTCTGTTTGCCAGGTGAAGAGGACCTACCTGTTGCATTCGACAGGGCCAGTGATTCCATGGAGCCAGGAGGGGTCTGCTCTGTGGGCGTCATGTCCTCGGTGTATTTCAGGGAACTGATTGGATGGCGGGTCCGACACTGCTGAGTAGATATGCCCCCTTCTTCTTCCTCCTCCTCCTCTTCGTATTTGGGGACTGGGATGCTGCCTCGGGTTTCACTAAAGCTCTGACTGGACATATCGCTGTAGCTCTCCTGGGATCTCAGCCTTCCCGGGTAATAGTCCTCACGGCATTCCTTCATGAAGCTGCCGCCGTGCCCCTTCATGGCCAGTGATGAGCTCCTCTTGGGGTTGCTGAAGTGCTTGCCCCACATGTCGGGCTGGGCCCCAGCCCCCTGCCCTCCCGGACTGTAGGAAGTTCTGAGGTTGCACTGGCTGAGAAGCTGCAGAGGACTCTGGGACTGGTTCTGCTCCATCTTGTTCCCGTAATGGTAGGGCTCGTCCCGGCTCCTCCAAATGGGGTCCCGGCTGAGGCTGGGCGTCTGGCTGGACAGGCTGAGCAGTTCCATCTGCAGCGACAGGGGGTCCACGTCGGCCGACAGCCGGTTGGAGCCCACCTGCAGCTGGCTGTGCTGGTTCAGCATGGGCTCCTCCGTCTTGCCCTTGTTCTTGCCGATTTTGGCACTGCGCCGGGACTCCTTGGCCCTGGCGTTCTGGAAGGCCGAATCGGATGAGTCAGAGCCATTGGGGTCCTCCCCGGCGCTGCAGGCCCGTGAGCAGAATATCTGGCCCTGCTTTGGGAGGAACGGCCGCCCCAGGAGGGATTTCTTGCAGTGAGCACAGCAGAAACAGGTCTCGGTGGCATGCCAGTGTTGGCCATCGTAGGTCATCTGACCTTGGTCGATCCCTGGGGATAGAGGAGACATGGGAGAGAGGCTGACAAGCTGCTCAGAGCCCTGTATCACCGTGTGAAACACACGGCATCCTGGTTTGGCTCAGGGATCCAAACACAACAGAATAAACTATCAGCAGATCCATAATCAGGACCTCACACGAACGGTATTCATGTCCTATTAGGAGAACCCCCTGGTTCCACCAATCAGCTGCCTCTGAACTCATTTGCTCCGAGCAGAGAAAAACTAGATCCAAGGAACGTGCGCATGAATCCTTCCACCTGGGATACATTCTCCAGACAAAACAGCACTAATGACACTAACACATGCTTTCAATGCTTTGCGTGTATGTAAACTCCTTTGACCCCTCCACTGTAATGAGGTAGGTTTCTAGTATCATTTCCATTATTCAGACGAGGACGCAGAGATACGGGAAGGGTAAATAACTTGCCTAACTTAATACAACTAGGAATCACAGGTGAGATCTGTATCCACAAGCTTTGCTCCTAACCATGACATTGATACTTTCTCTTTCACTTTACTTGGGGGTCTGCTCAAACGCCAACTCCTTGGAGACGTCCTCCTGTACACCTGAGAGCATCCTCTCCACTGTTCTTTAACCGGACCTGCTGGATTTTTCTTCACAGCATGAACTGTGCTAGACATCGAAGCACTCCACATGTACATCTGTTTCTTAATTCTCTCCCCACCCCTCCCAAACGAAGTTCTAGGAGAAGAGGTTCATTAATTTTCTGTGGCATGTCCAGGAACACAGCCTGATGTACCAGAAGGGCTCTTTATACATTGAATGGATGAACTGAACCCCATACCAGCATAGGCCATTCAGATGAAGAGATCGCTGTAACAGTTCAGTGGAAAAGAAAAAGCAGATTTCAACACTCGGCAAGGAAACGCTTGGGTGTGGTTCGCCAAAGATATCCTCCATAAGCATGCACACCCTTTCCTTAATATCATCAGGGAAGGAAGAAACACATTTCCTCCCCATGCCAGGGCCGTCCCTGGTTTGCATAATCCTGTTACACCTGCCCTACAGGAACCTCCCAGAGCCCCAAGAGTTCTTCCTTCTCAGCATCTCTTCTGCCCCTTGCTGGTTCTAGGGCTTCATCCCCCTGTGGGACACCATCTTCTCACCACCCTTGGGCCATGAGCTTTGGGCAGGGCTAAAGCCACTCCTGGACCTAGCAATGGCCAGTAAAGGACCGTATCTCCTACCCCAGAGACTGCGGCAGAGGTGGGCACATGACTTGCACTAGTCCAATGCAAGAGTCACCTGGGACTGTTGCTAAGACAGTGATGTATGGAGGCTCTCTTTTGACAGCAGCTGCTAAGCTGGCAGAATGGAAGTCTGGACACGTTGGGGTCCCCCCTCCTGGGGGGTGAGCCTGTGGAGTATGCAGTTACCGTGGGATGGAAGGGGGCCTTTGCAAGCCTCCTGCTTTCTGATTATAAAAATCTTCCCAGAAACATAGTAGTACTAATTCGGCTGATAGTCCTGAGCCTGGACTCCTAGGAATAACTTTGGGAGACTTGTCTAGAGAGGTGGTAAACAAGAAAGCAAAGAACAAACTCTACCCAGAAGAAGAGAAAGGCAAGAACAAAGGGCAAAAGGCAGAGCAGCTGTCCCAGCCTCCCATGCTCTCTCCCACCTACCTTTATATCCCTGGAGCCCAGGGAGAGAGAGAGAGGCACAAGGCAATTCCTCTCCTATGAGCTCCGCCCCAAACTAAGGGGTCTCTGTTTATTTGGGAGTCTGGCCCTAGAGACTAAGAAGGGAGTTTTAGAGGGACAGGAGCAGCCACAGAGTCGGCTCTAAGGCCAAAGGGCCACTGTGGGAATCAACCTGGCCTTCCCAGGCAGGAGAAGTGGTGGGCGGGGCTACAGACAGGACCCAGAGCTGCTGGGCTCAGCCACATTTTCTCCCCAGGCTCCTGGGAGGAAGCAGGGCGGGAAGTACAGGGAGGCAGAACTCTGGAGCAGTTCAGAGGGAGGCTTCAGGAGTCAGAGGAAGGAAGGTTCGCATCCCATTCCAGCTGGCCGGAAAGATGCCGAAGCCCATCTGCTGAGTTCCCGGCTGGCTCTGAGCTTTGTGACCCTGAGCGAGTGGCCTCAGTCCCCGCTGCAGTTAAAACCTCTGACCTCGCCCGGCTGCTATGAGTTAATATGCAGAGAGCGCTCACACCCGCGTCTGCTAGCTCCTCTCGCTCTTCTCCTCTTTTTATGTGGTCTTACTGCCCTTCGCCCTCCCCGCTCTGGGGGCCGCTGCCCGGACGCAGTCCACGAAAGAACGCCACGGCTGGCTCAGTCTGCCTTGCCCTCCCCTCCGGAGGCTGTGCTGGCATCCCGGCCGCCCTGCATCCCAAGCGGCCGCAGCCTTGCCCACTCCCTGTCGCAGGCACACAGGAAGCCCAGTTCCCGGATCTGTCCTCCACCAGCTGCCTCTCCGTGCTTCTGCAAGCAAGCGTGCACAGATGTGGGCAGCAGGGGCCCCTTCTGGGGACGGGGCCTTGCAGAAAGGCTGGGCTGGGGTGGGGGGAGCAGACGGGAGGTGGGTTACAAAGCGGCCCAGCAGGCTGCACAACGTGGTCCCTGATAAACATCCCTGATGTCAGAGGGTCCTCTGAACTGGTCCTGAACTCTAAACATCTGGAAGAGGGCTCTGCTCTTCCACATCTAAGCGCTCCTCTTTAATTCCCCCCTCTAAGCCCCCATAAGCCCTTCTCGGAGGGTGTGTGTGTCTACTGCCTGCTACAGCCTCGGTCTGTTTGTAGGACTGTTTACTCTGCTGTGCGCAGGCAAAAGTACTGTTGCCCTAGCAACGGCTGCCTGATGCAGGGTCCACTCGGAGCGGCTGTATAAATATGGAATATTTGTGTAATATGGTCAGAGCAAAGCACCAGGAGACGGTGGTCTGCATGATATACAGAGCACACCCCTCTGCTGTTGCAGGAAAATTAGGTTTCACAGAAAAGTAGATTTCGAAAAAAAAAAAAAATCAGGGACAGCATTTTAACTGCAGCAGTGAGAATACTATGGGCCTCAGAGGTCCCCTTTTCTGGTAAAACACTGATGCCTTTTTATGGGTTTAAGAGAGAAGGAGAAGGGAATGCCAATCAACGTCTCAGATAGCTAGGAGAGAGAAAGAGAAGAGGACAGAGGGCCCTTCTGTGGGGGGGTACAGACAGATTTTCTCTCTTCCAAGTTGCTGAGCAAAAATCCTAAGGGGCAGTTTCTGGAGAAGCTTTTGAACTTCAAAGGAAAGGGACAGAAGACACAGCAACACTAGTGTGGGGGGGGGTATCATGGTTGCAGGTAAGCTGTTTATCTGTACACTCAGCACCTCTCCTCTGAGCAAGTGCCGACTGGCAGACCCAGAATCCATAGCGACAAATGCTGGGTTCAAAAGCTGCACCATTTTCCTCTGACGCACCCCACCCTGTCCGTCCTCACATGGCCAGCTACCTGTCCAAATCAAACTCCCCATTTCCTAACTCTCAGCATAAAGGCAAGTCCGTTTCCCTGTTTTGATCTCGCGAGAAGTGACAGTTACTGGGTTCTTGGTTGAAGCACCAGGCCTTGAGGCGGTGAGGCCTTGAGGGGTTGGGGGAAGGTGGGTTTGCACGTCGCCAGGCCCTGGGAAGGGAAGAGTGCCGGATGATATGGCTGCATAGCAAGGTTGAACCCTGAGCCCGTTGGGGACTCCAGCTCAGAAAGGCCTCATGGAGGCAGGGCTGAGTCCGTGGGACGGATTGCCCAACGACAAAGGACCGCTGAGCACACAGTAGGTGCCTTGTCCACAAAGCTGTGATTTTTATCAGCTCACAGAGCTCTCCCAACTAGTCGCTAATTTTTCATTTAAAAATGCCACTTGAGATGAAGCACGGAGACAAAATCAAACTCTTTCTGTTTCTGATATAATCTTCTAAGTGGGGCAAAAGGGGCGCCCAGACCGATTATCTCCACGTCTGCTCACTATAGGTAAGGAGCTGGCAGGTTCTGAGCAGATTTCTGGGAACTGCACAAGCCACAGAGAGAGCAGGCTGCTAGTCTTACAGACACTCACCCACTGCCAACTCTTTCATTTTTCTTTTTAAAGGGTGGCTCATTCTCAAGGTGCCAGAACAGGCAAGTTGAACGAACAAGCCACAGATGCAGCGTGATCTGGAAGAGTGCTCCAGAGTTGAACAAACTGGTTATTTGCGAAGAGAAAATGATTTCCACCATCTCAGATCTGCTGCTTAGTTGGGAGAGTTTAGAGCTTATCAGCTCTTTCAGGTTCTCTTGCTTTCTTTGTATTTGGCTGGGTCAGCTCTTGCTGATTTTTTTTTTTTTTTTTTTTTTTTTTTTTTTTTTTTTTTTTTTTTTTTTTAAGACGTGCTTGCCAGAAACCATTTGGTTTTCTTGACTGTCCCTTTCTACAAGAGGACTATTTTGGGTCCTCCCTCCATGGATCCTCAAGTTTTTCCAAGGAGGCTGTGGAAGACATCTGTTTTATCTTTTCCCTCTTGTTTTCCTTCCGGGACCACTCCCCCTCCCCTCGGTAGTGGGGCTGTACCTCACATAACCCCATCTCGGGGCTGGGCCTATGACTCAGGCAGACCAACTGAAACACCTGTGCTCTTGTTTCCAGGGTGGAACACATGACCCAACCGGGGATGATAAGGTTCCTATCTGGAGGAACTGATTCGGATGTGAAAACATACACAGCCCCACTCCTTTCGAGAATGCAAGTGCCGAGACCATGTAGAAGTGGGGAGTCCTCTTGGCCAGCATGCGAAGACAGCTTGCTTTTTCACCGCCGCCAAGAGACGGCGAGCTGAGCTGAGACACAAAGGACCCAAGACCCCAGACTTTGTCTGAGCCCTGAGCCACCCCTATCTGAAGCGAGTGCGCTCTTTGGCCTCTCTAGTAACGGAGACAAGACTGAAAGACACTTCTTTTCAGTGAAGTCAGGGTGAGTCGGCCACAGGGACTGTAACTACACCAGACACCGAGGAGATCCAAGGGCAGGAGGACCAAGCTGAGCACCCGGGGCCGCCTCACCTATGTGTTGAGCACAGGTGTCGCAATATTCCGCGTACAGGGACTCGAAGCAGTGGCAACAGTAGGGCCTTCCCTCCTTCATGATGTAGCGCTGGCCGCCGAGCACTGTCTCGCACTCGAAGCAGCAAAAGTGTTTCATGTGCCAGTGCCGCCCCTCGGCTTCTGTGCATTCGTCTGCAAAGATGATCTAGAGATGGGGAAGCCAAATGATCAGTGGTTAAGACCCAGCTACGAGAAGGCACTTTAAAGGACAACAGCTGTGGGGGCCCCAAACGAGAAGCATGGGAAAGCAGGTCCTTCCCACAAATCGCTCAATAAAAAACCTGGACGTATATGCATATTCTAGATCTTTATCAGTTGGGATGAGCCTACAGCACCATGAAACACAGTTTCTGGTCTGGCCAGGTATGAACTTAACCACATTTAATACAAGAAATCATGTTCTACCCTGAAGAATATGAAGCAAGACCAGAAACTGATAGCTCATGGGCACTCCAGATAACACATATATGTTTTATTTGGCGGATACACAATCTTTTTTAAAAACAGGAAATGTCACATTAATGCCTGAAATCCTGGTTTCTCTGTTGAAAACACAGCATTTAAGAAGAGGGATTGCTATTTCCAGGTGAGTGGTGAGTTCTCCAGCTCAGTCCTGTTTTTCACCACTCACTGTTGTCTTAAAATGTGTCACCTTCACGGACAACACCTGCCTTGTCCTCAGAAGCACTTGTGTTTTGACCTCCAATATGGAATTTTTGAAATTTCAAAGCACATATTTCAAAGCTTACTACAAACCACAGTAATCAAGACAGTGTGGTGCTGGTATAAAAATAGACATAGAGATCAATAGAAGAGAAATAAAAGTCCAGAAATAAAGCCAAACATTTATGGCCAAGTGATTATCAACAAAGACGCCAAGGACATTCAACGGGGAAAGAATAGTCTTTTCAAATGTGGCTGGGCCAGTTGGATAGCCACATGCAAAAGAATGAATCTGAGCTGTATACAAAAATTAATTCAAAAGGGATCAGAGACTTAATGAGCCAAATACGATAAAGTGCTTAAAAGAAAACACAAGTGTAAATATTCATGACCTTGGACCCAGGTTTCTTAGCTGTGACACTGAGAGTGTAAGCAACAAAAGAAAAAAACAGATATATTGGACTTCATCAGAATTAACAACTTCTGTGCTTCAAAGGACATCCTCAAAAATGTGAAATATAACCAGAGAATGGGAGACAATAGTTGCAAATCATGTATCTAGTAAGGAACTAGTATCCAGAATATATAAACAGCTCCACAATAAAAAGAAAAGCCACCCAATTAAAAAACAGGCAGAGGATCTGAATAGACATTTCAAAAAAAGAAGATACAAAAACAACGGATAAATATATGAAAAGATGCTCAACGTTATCACCCGTTAGGGATATACATAACCAAATCACAACGTGGTATTACTTCGTACACACTAAAATGAAAACAATGAAAAAGTAAGTGTTGAGGAAGATGTAGGGAAAGTGCAACACCATTCACTGACGGTGGGAATGTAAAACAGCATAGCTTCTCTGGACGAGAGTCTGGACTGCCTCAAAAAGTTAAACACAGAATTACGGTATGACCCAGCAATTCCGCTCCTGGGTATATGTTCAAGAAAACTGAAAAGATACGTGCACACAAACATCTGCATATGCATGTTCATACACTACTGATCATAACAGTCAAAAAGTGGAAAGAACTTAAATGTCCATCAATGGACAAAGGGCTCAACAAAATGGGACGTATACACATGACTGAGTATGATTCAGCCCTGGGAAGGAATAAAGCACCATTACATGCTACAACGTGGATTAACCCTGAAAACATGGCTCTAAACGAAAGAAGCCAGACACAAAAGATCCACTTGTGTGGAATGTCCAGAATATATAAATGCACAGAGACAGAGAATAGACCAGCTGATGCCAGGGCTGGGGGAAAGGCGGGCGTGACCGCTAATAGATACAAAGTTTCTTTTTGGGTGATGAAAATGACCTAGGATTAGACAGCAGTGACAGGTGTACAACTCTGTGAATATACTAAAACCCACCAAATTGGACACCTACAAAGGGTGAATGAACCCTATGATGTGTGAATGACATCTCAATAAACAAAAATTGCAAAACACTTAAATCATCGTATTCCTTGGCCATTAGATAACAGCAAGTGTTAGGAGCACAAATCTCCAGAAGGAGAAGAAACTGAGGCAAAGCGGCAGCCTGGAATTACAGAGGTGGAACTGAACTGGGTTTCCCAAATACCTCTCTAGAGGGCCTCTTTAGAACATCACCATTATTAGCATTAGAATCCACATTAGTTAAGGCTCGTCAACTTCCTCCTGGAGAAGGGAACCTCCCCTAGGCACGTAGTAGTGGACTAGGGCTGAACAAGGGCAGGGCTGCTTCCAGAGGCCCACATTGCTGTCTGCAAGGTCAGAACCAAAAATCCGTTCTGTGTAGGAGGAAACCTCCATCCCAGAACGTTCCCCAAATTATTCCATAAAAGCGGTCAGGTTTAGAACATTCTCCTTTCTCCTCCAAACTTAAAAAAAAGAACGAAAGAGAAAGAAAAACTTTTTATAGGAATATAGGCAATAGAAGCTCCAAACTTCTGAAGCCAAAGCACATCTCCTATTCTTGCAGCTTACAGATCATACTGCCATGTGCTCCCGGTGGGAGAAAACACCAGGCACGGAATTTGTACTCCAGGGTGCTTTGTGACCTGGGGTAGCACATGCAAGTACCTCCCAGAGCGTGGGGCAGAGCTCTCCACGGGAAATATGCCTCCGCCTCCTGAATCCTCATCGGAGCTCTGCTCAATCATGGGAAAGCGAAATAGTGCCACCAAATGTCTCCCTTCTCAAACCAGTTGGTCCCACTGAAGCTTTAGGAATCGGAACGTCAGGGCCACACCATTACTGAAATCTAACGCTGCACAATGCCTTTCTTTAACAGTTCAGAACTGACCCAGTAGCAGTGACTCCCCTCAGCTACAGAAGCTGCTTTCCTACCTGGATGCCCAGGGGATGGCCACTTTCAGGCACGCTAGCAACCAGGGATGGGGGTGGGGCTTGCTTCTTGCAAGGTTAATAGAAGAAGGTGGAGGGGTCTAGGGTTTTCTTCTGTGCGGGGCGGGGCGTTGGGGGTGGGATGTTGCCTAAGGCACAACTGAGGGGCGACAGGCAAGGCTTGAGCCCCCATGCGGCGTGCTCTGACCTCATCGCAGGCTGCGCAGCGCGGCTTCAGGCACTCGGCGTGGTGCCTGCCACAGTAGATCTTCCCATCCTGGTAAAAGTAGATCAAATCCACCAGCAGCTCGTTGCAGACGGTGCATATGAAGCACGGCGGGTGCCAGCAAACCCCGTGGCCGGCGCGCGATGCAAACACGGCGATGTCCCCGCCGTTAATCTGGCCTCCGCACTGTGAGGCAATCAGACACGTCAGCACAAACACCAGCCCTGTCTCTCAGGGCTGCACATAACGGTAAGAGACCACCACCACCACCTAGAGCGGGTCACCGTGCACTGATTTTCAACCCGGTGACTGTGCTCCTTGTGTCACATATGTGGCAGGGCGGTCTTTGCTCTCCCTCCCCTCCACTCCCTGATCTCCTTCCCTGCAAGGAAGGCGAAGATGAAGTGACTGAGAAAATAAGGAGTCACAAGGTGGGAAAGGAGGACGAACTCTTTTAGCATAACGACCACACAGGAGCTCTACAAGCAGGAGGCCAAGTGACATGTGGTGAAGGTGTCCTTATCTTTGAGATGCTCCAAACTCTATGTGGAGGCACAGGGGAGTTTAACACCAGCAGGAACAGGCGGCAGGGGGTGGGGGGCTGATGAGGGGGGCTGTAACATGGGAGAGGGGGTGAGTTCATAAAAGCATGCCCCCCTTTAACTATTTCTCCAAAGGCCTTTGAGGCAGGCTTTTAGCCTGTTTTCTCTAACTTCTTTTTGACTTAGTCTTGACTGACAAGGCACCACTTTTTTTTTTTATTATTTAAAAAAAAATTTTTTTTAATGTTTTTATTTATTTTTGAGACAGAGAGAGACAGAGCATGAGCAGGGGAGGGGCAGAGAAAGAGGGAGACACAGAATCTGAAGCGGGCTCCAGGCTCTGAGCTATCCGCACAGAGCCTGACGCAGGCCTCGAACTCAAAGACTGTGAGATTATGACTTGAGCCAAAATTGGACGCTTAACTGACTAAGCCACCCAGGCGCCCCGACAAGGCACCACTTCTAAGGCCAGACTATGGAAAGGGCTTCTTGTCTCCCCTTCCCCTATCTTCTTACTCATGTTCCAAAGTTCCTTCCCTTACGCGGAAAGGAACGAGGCAACAACCCTGACAACCCACACGTGATGGCTGAGGTCGGGGGAGTCAAGTGTGAGGAGGTAGGTCCAGGGAGAGGTTCTCTGCTGACGATAGCGATGGCCATGAGGTTCACACCTGAGGGTCTAGTTGGATGGCCCCACATGAGTGGCTGAGCTCCAGTCACCATGTCTAAAGAATAGAAAAGCTGCCTCTAAACCTTTCCCACACTGTGGCCCTGGCCATCATATAGGTTGAAACGTTTCACAGAAAATGAAGGAAAGGTCTCATAGAACAGTTTCTGGGAGCTCATTGGTGGAAGTGACTAGACCAAAGGAAGACGTTTTGTTACAAAAGGTACTGTCCGTGCTTTTCTAACATTGGTAGACCTGGGATAAGCATAGTGATAAAAGATAAATGGAAGCACATTAAAATTTTTAAGAGTGTATTTGAGCACATATGATTGAAATTGGGTACCTTAATCAAACTTAAAGTGGCTAAGAGGGCTCCGCCTACCTGGGACTAGGAGGGAGGTTCTCCAGAGAAGACAGGGATGCAAAGCAAGGAAATTATTTGATTGGCTGTAGCTTAAGCGGTTGCTTTATTTGAGAAAGCCTAGTTACCTATTGATGATTGGTTGGTTTTAAGGGTCATCTTTTCAATACTAAGGCAATGTCTTTGGCTTAGGCTTTGGTTTGCTTAGGTAGGCTACAAAGGTATTAGAGACACCTCAGTGTAATGGCTTTAACTGCTTTAACAATACGGAATCTCACGTAATCATCACCTTAATTCCACCACGTAGGCATTTGTCATCTACAGTTTGCAGATGACAAATGGAGGAAAAACAACATGGTCAGGGTCATCTGGCAGGAACATGAGTCAATCTTGTCCTTCTGCCTCCATGCCCTTGTCACTATCTTATACTACTTTTGACACCTGCCCATGAAATGTCCAACCTTTTCTTTCTCCTTAGAAGAGCCCAGCTGGGCTGGTTCCAGCAGGCTGATCTCAGAGCAGCAAAATTCTGGATCTGAGGACACTGAATCGCACATCTTATTATTTTTTTTTTTTAAGTTTTATTTATTTATTTTGAGAGAGAGAGAGAGAGTGAGGTGGGGACGGGCAGAGAGAAAGGGGGAGAGAGGATCTAAAGCAGACTCTGTGCTGACAGCAGAGAGAGCCCAAAGCAGGGCTTGAACTCACAAACCATGGGCACATGACCTAAGCCAAAGTTGGACTCTTAACTGACTCAGCCACTCAGGTGCCCCTGAATCTCACATCTTAACCAGTGACCACCCCCATATCAAGGGGGAAGACTCCATTGCCAAGTCTCTGGTCCTGTGGCTCCCCTATTAAGGAGCTCCTGTATTTCACCCACGTGAACCTTCTCACACCACCCCTCCAAAATCTAAAAAGGGCAGTCAAACGGCACTCACTCCCTTCAGGCAGTGTCTTGCTTTCTCTTCACTGATCCAGCTTATGTATCTTCAGCACCTGAAAGGTTTCCTTAAGAGCTTGAGGAGGTAGAGGAGGCTTTTCAAAGAGCACCAGAGCCAAAGAGCAGTGCCGAAAGTGATGATCAGCACCAGAAGGCTCTATGGCGGAGAGGAGGGGCAGGGAGAACACAGGTGGGCTGCACGTCCACCTTTCTTTCTTTAAAACCCTCCACCACCATGCCCTGAGCACGCTACAGGAGATGAAGAGAACACACGAACCCAGACTCTTCAACTCAGTGAGGTCCCAGGGAGCATTCAGGGGGACTGCATGCATGTTGCTGAAGAACCCTCAAACCCAAGGAGATGACCATTCACCACCCCCTTTAAACGGTCCTGGGATGAACCCATGGTCCAAATTCCTTTTTCTAAAGGGCTCATTTTAAAATAGAAATCCAGGGGCCCCTGGGTGGCTCAGTCGGTTGAGCGTCCGACTTCAGCTCAGGTCACGATCTCGCGGTCCGCGAGTTCGAGCCCCGCGTCAGGCTCTGGGCTGATGGCTCAGAGCCTGGAGCCTGCTTCCGATTCTGTGTCTCCCTCTCTCTCTGCCCCTCCCCCATTCATGCTGTGTCTCTCTCTGTCTA